CTTTAGAGGATCATTCAGTTGTTCATCCGTCATTTCACTATCTTCATTTTCGAATCTCGACGAGTGGTGACAGCGAACGTGTAGGACGTGCTGCAGTTTTCTCTCACTCGCGATTGTACTGTCCCAGTCCAAGGCGGACAGTGATTTTTCTACTGGTCTTTTAGTTACCCTCGGGTAAAAATGTCCTTATGCAGGGCACCCCGCGATTTATCAGACGACAAAATAGAGCAAAGCTATCATGATTCGCTACGATCTTGGAATTCACGCAAGACGTTCCCCTTAAGGAAAGAAGATTTTATGAAGTCTCCGAAACCTAAAATAAACAAGCCGAAGAAAATTAAAACGTAGAAGAAATCTACGAACTTATTGCACAACACGGAGCAGCTAAAGTCACGGAAGCTTTAGGAGCAGGTCCAGCCCAGCAGAAAGAGGTCAGAAATGAAGCTGAAGAAAAAGCAGAGACAAGTTAAGCTGAAATGCAGAAAGATAAAGAAGCGGAATAGATTACCCCAAGAAAGACGGCAAAGATTACTGAATTTTTTTTTTTTTTTTTTTTTTTTTTCTATTCTTGAGTCCATGTCTGCAAGATCCTCATCTATATCTTGTAACTCTTCGTCTTTAGCTTCTCGATAGAATTGATTCCGCAGATTTTCCAAGTCCTTAAGCTGATTTCCTTGCGCAATTCAATTAAATATTTATTTCCACCGACGAAGGCAGCCCATCCAAAGTGATATTGCGGACAAAGGTTTCTACTTGTGTGATTTTCGTTTTCGAAGAAGCTTTCTGCCTTTTAGGGTATGCTAACGTCATTTTAATCCGCTCTTCTGGTCGTTAAGGACCAAATGTTAGAGAGTGAGATTCGTCGACAGAATGATTAGCTGAAAGCAGTTATAAAAGTTTATTCATCAATAGGGAGGCACAAGGGTCAGAGCTGCACGCTCTTGTTAGTACTGATGGCTATTACAAAAGATGGCGCAGGAGCCCAAAGGGACAATCGCTCTGCTCGCGATCTACAGAGGTTCTGCTGGTTTGGGGGAGGCGTAGCAGCGCCCACTAGTGAGATGAATGTTACAACAATAGGATGAGACTGAACACATGTCAAAAAGTAAGATTGCTCCTTTAAAAACTTTGAATCTTGCGAAATTAATGGTAGCACTTCTCACTGCACGTTTAGGAAATTATTTACAAGGTTTCTTTCCTGATTTCGCGAAACAAAATTTCTTATGAAGCAACTTTCAAATCGTCCTTCATTGGTTGAAAGGATCGTCTAAACAATGGAAACCGTTTGTCTCCAATAGAGTGTTGGAACCATTGTAGTGGCTCCGACAATCCTGCGGACCCTACCACAAGCGGAGAATCGGCTAGGAGGGCCCTGACAAGTTATCTGTGTTGGTCAGAGTCTGCCTGGTAGTCTAAACGGCTTCAGTCGGGGTTTAGTCAAGAATCACCTCATAGCCTTGATTTCATCTGTGATGAAGATATTTTAGTGAAAGAGCCATGGACTGCGCCGGCTAATTCCATAGTAACCACTTAACGGTGGTTTCCACCACCGTTAAGTGGTTACTATGGAATTAGCCGACCACCGTTAAGTGGTTACAATGGAATTAGCCGACCACCGTTAAGTGGTTACTATGGAATTAGCCGATCACCGTTAAGTGGTTACTATGGAATTAGCCGACCACCGTTAAGTGGTTACTATGGAATTAGCCGACCACCGTTAAGTGGTTACTATGGAATTAGCCGGTATGGAATTCTCCTTGGTCATGTTGTACTGCATGAACACACTTATTTTTCTTCTAGTACTATTTTATGAATCAAAATATATTTTTAGATATTTACAAAATTGTGGGGATTACATAACACCTCGTTTAACTGTCTCTTACCCCACCTCTACATGACCACACCTATGCATCCTCTCTACACTCTCTCAGCCTTGAAACGTTTTGTGAATTATTTAAGAGAGGCGCAGCGTCTTCTGTAACTTTTCCACAAGTCTCCTCACCTATACGCTTATTAAAGAGTATATAGTTTTATATAACAACAATCAGAATATAAGAAATCAATATCTTTTGCGTAAGTACAATGATCCTAATAGTAATGCAATATTTAGCATAATAAGCATTAGTAAAATAATAGTCATTAAATAAATTTAATAAACAGATACAACTAACATTATTAATGAAATGAAAATATAATACGAAACACAAAAACGTCGGTATCTAAATAAAGATGTTCAATAAAAGAATATAATTCATTTGAATATGTCTTAAAGTTCAGATTTCAAAAGGATATAAAAGTTGAATAGATCTTCTAAATTGTCCTTTGGATGTATGAACAATGCACGCTCTTACATATCCCTCTCTGCCTGTTAGCGCATCTTAAACGCTACTCATATCCCAAAGTAGATTGCTTTTTTGTTTATCCCTCTACAAGAACAGCGCCTCCTTTTTTAACGTTGCGTCCAGAAGAATGATTTAAAAAGTGATAGCGTCCTTCAGTTGCAGAAAATATTGTTCCTTCCATTTAGACTGTAATTGATTCAGGAGCCTCGATTTATATTCTTTCTTGTTACAGTTTCTCGATTGGAAGCTTCTGTAAAGCGTAAAGGAAAACTGATATCCTCACGTCCTGGAAGTGAGGAATGTGATGGTGTGAGACGATGAGGTTCACTCAGCTCATTACAGTAACTTAATGGTTTATTATTTAAGTGTTAATTCCTCATATGATGATAAATCTCTTCCTAATATTTTCTTTAGAGGTTCTTGATACACTTCATCATGAGTTCCCAGAATCTTTTCCACCACAAAGACCGCTCAGAGATGAATTTCCAAGATTTAGATGTTATGAAGTCTTTTAGTGTTCAGTCCTTTCGAACCCCTTGAGCACTTCGCTTGAGCTGCGGAAAGGTTTTGCTTTATCTTAATAGATTACTTTGCAGTTTCCTAATCTAGACAGAATACGTCGAAGCGATAAAGTGAAACCTTTTGTTGACATATCTGAGACGACATCAATATGCACTGCACATGTAACTACACTTTTTAGCGCTTCTGTCTCTCAGCTTTAATGGTAATGATGAAATCAGTTTCTACTAAAGAGAAAGAGGAACTTTCACTGCACAATGAGTTTTCAATTGTTCTATTAGTTGTGTGACGGGTTTCCCTGCGTACTTCCTACAAATAATGCAAGTAGCTGTAATTTTCTTCACTAACTGTCTTGAATGAAATGTGTTCATTAAATGTCACTAGTTCCGTGAATTTTGGCATTATAAGAGGATGTTTTTCATCATTTATTAATTCTGCTTATTCCAAATTACCTCTGACACGCAAAATAACTCTACTGTATAGATATAGTGCTAAACTGTAAAGCTTCGAATCAGGTGTTATTAGATTATTCCTCTCTAATTGTTGAACATCCGAAAAATAATTCTCTCTCTGCACTTGTTTTATCCAGTATTCCTCAGCTTCTTGGATCTCCAGTGCAGGACCTTCTTCACAGGTACGTGTTCTTAGCTCGGCTACAAACCGCTTCCCTCAAGCTGTGACTCTCAACAATTTTTCAAACTGCTGAACGTAGTAATATTTAATGCACTTTCTCCTGTTGGAATAGTAACATGAACATAAGTGCTCAAGCGTTCCAAATTTTGATTATTCGTTTGCACTTTAAATTTTTGCTTATGCCCTTAGAACCTTTCAGTTATGATGGACAATGCTACAAACGGACTCGGCTACAAACCGCTTCCCTCAAGCTGTGACTCTCAACAATTTTTCAAACTGCTGAACGTAGTAATATTTAATGCACTTTCTCCTGTTGGAATAGTAACATGAACATAAGTGCTCAAGCGTTCCAAATTTTGATTATTAGTTTGCACTTTAAATTTTTGCTTATGCCCTTAGAACCTTTCAGCCATGATGGACAATGCTACAAACCGCTTCCCTCAAGCTGTGACTCTCAACAATTTTTCAAACTGCTGAACATAGTAATATTTAATGCACTTTCTCCTGTTGGAATAGTAACATGAACATAAGTGCTCAAGCGTTCCAAATTTTGATTATTAGTTTGCACTTTAAATTTTTGCTTATGCCCTTAGAACCTTTCAGCCATGATGGACAATGCTACAAACGGACTCGGCTACAAACCGCTTCCCTCAAGCTGTGACTCTCAACAATTTTTCAAACTGCTGAACGTAGTAATATTTAATGCACTTTCTCCTGTTGGAATAGTAACATGAACATAAGTGCTCAAGCGTTCCAAATTTTGATTATTAGTTTGCACTTTAAATTTTTGCTTATGCCCTTAGAACCTTTCAGCCATGATGGACGATGCTACCAAATATTATCTGTCAGCAATGAATATGATGTTTTACCATAAGTTAACTTAGCTGCAAGTTTGTCCTGAAATTCCTGCAGCGCTGGTGGTACTAGGTTCACTACCGGTTTCTTACAAAATATCTTTGAATATTGGGATATCATTTTGATCGCAATAGGGCTTTCGGGATCATCATGCGCTTTCATCATTGTGTGCCATTTTCCCTTAGAACAGGATCGCTGCTTCGGCCATCAATAGCTAAGCATTGACGCTAAACAAAGGAGAAGGAAGACGCATTCGAATAATAGAACTACTTTTAGTCCCTTCAGAAGAATGACTGGCATGCTATTTAACAACACCGAAAAACAATGAGCTATACAGTAACGTGATGGGGAAAAGCAACAGGTAGAAATAATTCAGATGTTCGAGAGAGCTGCCGATGTCTGAATGGTTGGTCGTTTTGTGCGACTTCGATGCGAAAGAGTTAAAGTTCCTATTGCTCGGTCACGTTTGAAAAGGTATCCGTTTCCTATCAGTTTCCTGATGGCCCATTCTATATGTCATCAAACTCTGCATCAAGAATGTCACCTAAGAAGAAAAAAGCTCGTCTAGAAGAAAAATACTTGAAGAAAGTTATAAGCAAGAGAAAAGTAAGTTTGTAATGCAGCCGTTCCTCAATAAACACTAACGCCGGCTAGCTCTAAAAGTATTTATTGACAGAGCACGCAGAAACGGGTACAAACAAAATAGACATAAAATAAAACATATTAAACATTCGAATTACTGAGGCATCTAAATACATGGCAAGCTAACATCATCGCGGCTGGAGGTCGACTGAAAATTGTTCCTTTCCGCTACTACATCGCGTTGAAATAAAACAGTTCAATGTGTTCTTATGTTTTGAAAGCACTTGTAGCAGCTTTTTCATAGTTATAGGACATACCGCACATATTCTTCCTATAAAATAAAAATATGAATTTAAATACCCTTCATCCATCACAATAATTACAGTTCATCATTTTCTTCTGAATCCTCAAAGAAATTAATAATAACAATAATAATCTTATTGTTGTTTGACATACTTAAATACTTACATAAAATGTAATCATTAAACTACACAACAGGATTAACAGAAAAATTTATAGGAATAGCTCACGAATCTATTTTTGCAAATCATTTAATGATGAGGAAAACAAAAGAAAGGATTCGTTATTCATTTTATTGGCTGAACATGTCACGAGATATTGAAGAATATTGTAAAACTTGTAAGGAATGTCAATTACAAAGTAGAGAAAGAATCAGCGATCGTATACCCATAGTTCCAGTTCAGAAACCTGAATTTCCATTCGACACAGTGAATGTAGATATAATCGGTCCAATTGAGCCTCCATCAGCACGTAAACACAAATATATACTATGTTTAGTCGATCAACATTCTAGGTGACCAGAAGCTTCTCTTTGAGAACAATTACAGCAAAATCAACATGCGACGCATTATTAGAAATCTTTATGAGAACGTGCATACCTCGGGTAATAGCTAGCGATCAAGGTACCAATTTTGTTTCATGAATTAACACAAGAATTTCATGCCAGATTAGGAGCAAGTCCTAGATTTGCAACACCAGGACATCCACAAAGTTCGGGATTAGTTGAACGGTATAACCAAGTTCTAAAACATATACTTCATCATATCATTAGAAACAACTCTAAAAATTGGGACAAACACATACCATACCTGTTATTCGCTTACCGCGAAATTCCAAATTGTACTACGGGAGTATCCCCTTTTAAATTAATGTATGGAAGAGAGGCCAGAGGTCCGTTGTCAGTATTAAAATCGTCATGGTCAGGAGAAATTCCATTACCAATAAAATTGGGTAAAAGTGCTGTTGATTATCTACAGTAGCTAAAAATGAATTTAGAAATAGCAGCAGAGCAAGCATCTATAATTGCAGAATTGAAACAAGGTGCATATGCAAGATATGCTAATCGAAGGGCTATATATATAAAGAATTCAATCCTGGAGATCAAGTGTACCTGCTGATTCCAGATTCCAGTAATAAATTATATGCCAGATGGACAGGACCTGCAGAAATAGTATCTCGTTGTAATCCAGATTCTTACAGAGTCAAACTGACAGATGGTACAATAAGAAGAGTTCACGTAAATAAAATTAGAAAAATTTAATCCAAAGGTACAGGCAGTAGGTGTAATATTTGAGAACGAAGAAGAACTGGAAGTCCATCCTACACCCAGTGTGAGTGACAAGTCCGATCATTTTCATCTTAACGAAGTAGACTTAAGCCATTTAGATGATGATAAAAGGAATGACATGATGAACATGTTCAGAAAATATGAAAACTTATTTATAAATAAGGTACAAATTGCCAAAGTAGGAGAACATAAAATAAGATTAAATGACACTGAAAGAAAGAAGCCATATGTTTATCGAATACCAGAAGCATTGAAGCCGCAAGTAGATAAACAAATCGAAGAAATGTTGTCATTGGGATTGATTGAAGAAACCAACGCTGAAATTTCGTACCCTATCGTATGTGAAGAAAGACGGTAATCTTCGCCTTTGCGTTGACTTTAGATCCCTTAATGCAGTAACGAAACCAGATGACTTTCCTATGAAAAATCCTAAAGAGCTCTTATTCCACATTGGAAAAGCCAAAGTGATATCCAGCTTACTCAAAGGCTATTGGGCCATACCATTAGAAAGAGAAAGTCAAGAATTAGCATGTTTCAAGATAAATCGAGCTCAGTATCAATTTAAAGTCATGCCTTTCGGGCTACGCAACGCCGCTGCAACATTTCAGAGAGTGATGAACCAGGCACTTGCTAAATACAAAGATTTTGCTCGAGCCTACGTCGACGACATAGCAGTTTATTCAAATAGTTGAAATGAACATTTAGTACATCTTGACACCATTTTTTCAAACCTGTTAGATCTACAGTTTTCCGTAAATCTCAAGAAATGTTCCTTCGCTAAAACTCATATTAAGTATCTAGGACATATCATCGATTCCGGAAGTCATCGTACTGATCCAAAGAAAGTGGAGGCTACCCAGAAATTAGCTAGACATCAAACAAAGGAACAATTGAAAAGCATTCTAGGCCTATATAATTATTACAGAGATTACATTCCACATTACGCTGAAACAGCTTAATTAACCGAGCTCACCAATCCTGAAGCGCTGTGCTGGACAGAAAAACACGACGAAGCATTCGATAAATTAAAGAAATGCCTAATAGAAGCACCTAGTCTTTATACCCCTGTTCCAGGGTTACCTTTTATAATTCATTGTGATGCATCTTCAACAGGTGTTGGAACCTGCTTATCTCAACAGAAAAACGGAGAGTTGTACCCGATTAGTTACGCCAGCCAGAAACTAACCAAAACACAACAAGCACGGCCAACTATTGAGAGGAAAGCTTATGCTGTTATTTGGAGCTTGAAAAAAGTTTGAAACTTGGATTTTGGGATCACCTGTGGAACTGATAACTGATCACAATCCGTTAACTTTTATCACAAAGAACGCATCCACAATCTTCTAAGTTACAGAGATGGGCTTTAGCATTACAAAAGTATGATACTTACAATTTCACATTGCCCAGGTGCTAAGTTAAGCAATGCTGATGCGTTGTCCAGACTAGAGACTATTGAGTGACTTGTGTGAAAGAAAGAACTTTTCATAGACATTTATGAACTCTTAAGATTATTATTATTATTATTATTATTATTTTTTATTTTTAATTTTATTTTTTTTTTTTTTTTTGTGTGTTTTCTTTTTCAGCTACTCTCCTAGAGGCTTTTTATCATAGAAACTTTTAAGTATTCTATAGCATTAGAATTGTTTGATTACTAATTTTTAATCATTTATATGTTACAGTTTTAGAAAGAAGTCTTGTAGTAGAAGTAACCTATATAAGTATTGTGTTATGTATCTTTCAACTTCAGTATTGATTGATTTTTAGACTTTAGTAGGTAACACTTTTGTTTGACGTCACCATAATTTGTCATATTTCAATAGGCTTTCACCCTATTTGAATCTTGGATAGGGGGTGTGATGTATGGGTGACGCCAGCCAACAAGATGTATAGAGGGCGCTGGCTCTTAATCTGAAGGCGTCAAAAGTTTTAGTTTCCAAGAGGGAGTCCGACAGAGAGGTCATACGGAAGGCTCGTGGGAGACATTAATGAAACCGAAATTAACTTTTATTACTTTATTTATTTCAGTTATTAGTATTGTAGTTTAGTATTAGTTTTGTGTTTGTGAAATAAATGTTTAAAATACATGAAGGTGGAGTTATTTCTCTATGAGGCGGTGGATGAAGAAGAGATGATATCACACAGTACTTTATGAAAGCATGTATTTTATGCATTTAACCACATTTTAAAAATTAATTAAAAAACTACCGATGAAAAATAATATATCAGTTTAAACATAATTTTATAGAGAAGTCAAAATATTTTTAAGATTTAAAATAGCATTAGTATTGTAAATATCATGCATCAGAAAATGAAAAGAAACTCTAAAATTATTATAAACACTTTCTTACAGTTCTTCTTAACTACAAGTAATTTTCAAACATAAAAGAAAATAATAAGATAAAATTATAAAATATTTTATTTCAAACATTTTACATTCGATGGACTTTAAACATGTTTCTAGTTACATATAGATTATTAATATTTAAATGGAAAACCTTTAATTATCATTGCCCACCGCTTAGGCCTACTGCTCACAATTTTATCTAGGATTTTCCATTGGAATTAGATGATGTGAACATGTTACATCATAGAATAGATGTAACATGTTGATGATGTGAACATGTTACATGTTGTGATAGATGATGTGAACATGTTACATGTTGTGATAGATGATGTGAACATGTTACAAATATAGAATTAACTACAGTTAATTCTATATTTATTGCGTGGATTCTTTAATCCGACTTTCTATTTTAATCCAAGCATTTTCAATAAATAATTGATAACCGATACACGAGCCAAAGTAAAGATTTTATAAAGCGTTAGAGAAACTTCTAATCTGATAAAAGCTGAGCTGTGATGTAACATTCATTTGATCTTATCATTGTTCCTCGCGGCCAATCCACAGTTTCCTTCTTATCACCGTTCAAAGGGCACAATTATTCGACATGATAAGTACATGAGCATATCTTTTTAATGGTAATTTTCTGATATTATCTATCACAAAAAAGTTGTATAATCACATTACACAAGAAAATAAATGGTGTAGCTAGATGGGATGCAATATTATCGAATAATATTATCACTAGCTTTTGTGTCATTCAAAACCATTTTAACAGCATACGATAGAAAATACGCCAATACGAAATTTAACACTGTGCAAAATTCAGCTTTAGTTTCACGTTCGGTTTCATAGAAAAGGTCTACGCATTTCAAAGGAGAAGAGCATTCGTCATGTTGTTCAAAACGCAAGAATTCTATGAAATCAAAATCAATTTTATACTAAATCTCGCCTACGTTTAGAAATGCATTGATACGTTTTAGTCCAAAGAGGAAATTTGCGCAGAAGGGATATTAATTTCGTTTTGGAATTTTGCGTTGATACACTATAAACGGCGAATCACTTTTTAAATTGTTGTCACCAAATTTTATCACCCTCTATTATAGTTAAAGAAATTAAAAAATAAAGAATCCGCATAAATGTGTGTATGTTTCTCGCATTGTGATAAAACAAAGGCACCTAGAGTCATCCAATTTTGAATAACTATAACACACTGTACGGAAAAAATGTATTTTTATCTCCAGCGCGCGAGACTGTGTATCCGAAATTTTAAAGATATGTACATTTTAAATTATTTTGCGATATTACTGTTGAATTGAATTTTATGCTTTAAATGTGAAAAACATGATATTTAATAAATAAATGTAACGTGAAAAACGTTAAAGAAACATCCCTTTGGGAGTAATATAAAATCTAAAAGCGTTCAGGTTTTTTCATTGTGTTTTTTTTTAATATTTTCTTTTAAATTTCATTTTTCTTATTTATTTATTTATTTAATTATTAGTTCAATGGGCAGATGGTCACGGGTGATAAAAATTTTATACAAAAATCCCTTATCAGGTTTTCTGGACATTTCAATTTATTATTAAGAAATTTTTAATCTGTAATAATACGGAATTGACTTGCATAACGGCGATTTTTGCAAGCCAAAATAACAACACAAACTCGGTACATCGATCTATTTCCGCTTAAAAAAAATATCCCCGAATTGCACAAAAATGGCACTGCGCACTCCCTTGACTTTATTCATGTACACGTCGACCTATTTTCACTTTAAAAAAAAATTCCAAGAATTGCCCAAATTTGCATTGCGCACTCCCTTCACTTTGCCCATGACATAATTTCACTTAAAAAGTCAAAGAAACACCCAATTCTACAATACAGGCAAACAAAAAATACATAATCTCATTAAACCACATTTTAAACCAAACAATAAAATAACATAAAAAAGGAAAAACATGTTATAACATTTAAGCACTACAAAAAGCAAATTTCCACTTACCCTATTTAGAAGTTCCTTGGTCTTTAGTCTGTGGCACGCAAACTTCCTTAACAGCATCCAAAAACTTCCTAAAATTATCTGAACTCGAATCCGTATATCAGCGTCGCCACATCTGAACCTTTCTTCCAAAAAACCCATTCAAATACATCTAAACGGCTTTTTACGTTCGACTAGACGCATATCCTTCCTATATACAGGGCACTTATAACGGCTACTAAGTAAACCTTCATTTACACACCTGTCAATTAACCCTATTTTGCCCTTTCGTTCCAAATCGTACAGAAACTTCAAATTAATCTTACAACATTCAGCCATTCTACCGTCTAAAGAATGAAACCAACACACCACAAAAGCGCTTACAATACCTCCCATGATTCAAAATTTCCCAGAATCATCCACCCGATTACGTCCCAACAGGGTTTCCCTAACATTCAACTACTCGGGCTACCATAAATGAAACAAAAACTTGGCGATAAATGAAACAACAACTTCGCCATAATACAAGGGGTACCTTAAAGTCTACTCTAACCAGTACAGAATCAAGAAAAAATTTCTATGAATTTGATGGCTTCTAATAGAGACGTCTTTGCAACGGTAGCAAAACAGTGGATGTTCGCGGACATCTGGGCGTCTTAAAGACGACATATTGCAACGTTTTTGCAACGACATCCGTGACGAGTTTGCAACGTGTGCTACTTGGGATTATGTCCTTGTGTTACATGTTGATTTATGCAGAAAAATAAGCTTAATAATTAATATATTTTTCTTCTTTTTCGAAGTTTTGTATTCCTTGTATTTGTCTAAAGTTTAAATATTTTATCATTTCCTGAAAACCAGAAGATCATGCAATTTTTTCTCTTTAGACTAAATATGCGTAATTAATAATAGCTTTAATTATTTTCAGTACTTTTAACTATAGTTTTTAAATTTCTCTTTAAACTAAGTATGCATAATTAATAATAGCCTTAATAATTTTCAGTACTTTAAACTATATTTTTAAATAACTTATATTTTAAGTTACGATTATTTAAGATTTCATCATTTTTTCCTCAAGTGAGAGTAATTATGAAAGTGGTTATTATAAATGTATAACATTAATAGTAGGTTTTAAGTAAATAAAACTCAATCAGACATAAATAAAAGTAAAAATACATATGTGGGTAAAAAAAAGAGCATTTCTGATAACAGCATTATCACATTTATTTCTGTTAAATCTCAGAGACATTGAAAATTACCCTGTCATGATAATTAGGAAGCTGTTCTTAAGGTAACATAATGAGCATTTTACCTGAATTCAAGTATAAATTTATTCGCGTTTTATAGTAAAAAATATAACCATTAACTTCTACATCTCCAAGATATCCAAATGAAACACTATATAAAGTAGTTAATAAATGTGATCAAATGTATTCTATACAAAAATATATCTAAATCTAATAACCCCCCAAAAAAACTTCCCATATTTATATCTAAAATGAAATAATAACCTAACAAATAACATACATGATAGTTGTGTTTCTTGCTTTGTGGACGCATTTTTATCATTTGAAACATTTGTTGACATTATTGTAAGTTTAAATTTGTATAATACTATAACGATTAATACAGTGACAAATATTATGATCTTTAGTTTTTATCATGGGTGATAATAAAAACAAGAAAAGAAAGCAACCAGAAAAAAGCATTTCACTGGAAACTCAAATGCAAGTGATTAGAAGATTAGATTCTGTTGAACGTCAATCTCAAATTAGTGCTGCATTGATTTTGGCAACTTCAAACAATAAGGACAATTCTTAAGAATAAAGAAAAAATACTGTCATCGGCAACTGCAACTACGTCCAAGCTCTGCAACTAGAATTACCCGTTCTAGAAATAACATTATAGAGGAAATGGAAAAAACGACTGTCTATATGGATTGACGACGAAATTGAACGCAATATGCCCTTAAGCCAATCTATCATAATGCCTTCTTGACAAAAAGGCAGAAAATTGGAAACCCAGAATAGACTGAATGATCTGACTGAGAATTTTATTTGTTTTTAAAAAGTATATGCGTTTATATTGTTTTTATTTTTGTAAGAAATAAATGTTTGATTTTATTTTTATTAAAAAAAACAATCATTAAATTTAATGCCTAACCATTTTTATCCGTCTTCCCCTAACCCCATTATTTACATGTTAAGATAGCCTCGCTTAGCGCTGTTTCGCATTACGCTCTACTTCGATGGAACGTATCCCCCGCGTTAAGCGGGGTCTTACTGTAAATACATTAATTGGTCAAGAGCCGGACACATTCTGCACTATTTAAGAAAAAACATAAACTAACAGTGTTTGAAAGTATAATTAAGCAGAAGGAAGGTAACGTAACTTTTTATTAATTGGAACTGAAATTTCCAATTAATAAAAAATTATTCGTGTTTTTTAAATAGTAAGCAATTAAAAGTGCAATAATTATGAATTGCAGTATTTACTAATAATGCTGATGTTTTTAACACCATTTCTTTCGATCATATTCATTCATTCATTCATTATTAATTGTGCCGAGATATTGCATTTAGATGCAACGTGTCCGGCTCTTGACCAATTAATGTATTTACAGTAAGACCCCGCTTAACGCGGGGGATACGTTCCATCGAAGTAGAGCGTAATGCGAAACAGCGCTAAGCGAGGCTATCTTAACATGTAAATAATGGGGTTAGGGGAAGACGGATAAAAATGGTTAGGCATTAATTAAATTTAATGATGTTTTTTTAATAAAAATAAAATCAAACATTTATTTCTTACAAAAATAAAAAAAACAATATAAACGCATATACTTTAAAAACAAATAAATTCTCAGTCAGATCATTCAGTCTATTCTGGGTTTCCAATTTTCTGCCTTTTTGTCAAGAAGGCATTATGATAGATTGGCTTAAGGGCATATTGCGTTCAATTTCGTCGTCAACCATATGACAGTCGTTTTTCCATTTCCTCTATAATGTTATTTTAGACGGGGGTATTCTAGTTGCAGAGCTTGACGTAGTTGCAGTTGACCGATGACAGTATTTTTTCTTTATTTGATCTTATTCTAAGAATTGTTTATTGTTGAAGTTGCCAAAATCAATGCAGCGCTAATTTGAGATGACGTTCACCAGAATCTAATCTTCTAATCACTTGCATTTGAGTTTCCAGTGAAAATGCTTTTTTGGTTGCTTTCTTTTCTTGTGTTTTACTCGTATATCACCACGATAAAAACTAAAGATCAGACTATTTGTCACTGTATATTAATCGTTATATGTATATATATCAAATTTAAACGTACAATAATGTCAACAAATGTTGTTCAAATGATAAAAAGCAAGAAACACAACTACACTGTTTCGGATATGTTATTTGGAAACCTAGCGCTGCGCACAATTTCGGAGAATCCCCGGGTTGAAATAAAAGAGCGCTAAACCGAAACAGCGTTAAGCGGGGTCTTACTGTACTTACTTTTAGTTTCTACATTTTAGAATAGTGGTAGATTACAATGATTATTTCATGCACTTTATATAATCAATAAATTTTCCTTTTGTTACTGTACAGAAATAATTTAAATAATACTGTATACGATAGTAAGCTAAGTACGTTAAAGTAAGCACTTCGTTAAATAGCACACGATGAAACGTTTCGTTATGAATTTCTTTGTTATCACAAGCACATAAAATGTAAGCAAAGAAAATAAAATATACTTAAATTTAATAAAAATAAAACCTAATTTCCAACCTACCTTTATTGAAATAATCTAATAAACATACATAACGGCAATATTTTAAAAAAACGCGAATTACACAGTGTTTGGAAAATTAGATACCAAACGAAAAGTAATAAAACTGCAATTTGCAATCAATAAAAAATATTTTGTGTTTTTAATATTACAAAATTAAATATCACATAATTATAAGTTACAATATTTCATAGTAATGGTAATGAACCTAATGCTAATGAGTTTCCTTAACACTATTTTTTTTATCATAAATTTCAAACACTTTAAAATCATTACCTTTTCTGCATATTATAGAATGAGCATTTATTAATTTTAATGTATTGGTTTTGTTATTACGATATCTAATTCATTTTCAGCAGTCATATTAATACTGGACCAGTCCAATAATTTTTGGGTTTGAAACTAATGAACATACCATAACAGCTGAATGTGCTTTACATTGATTGCATTTCAGCAAAATCAGAAAATGCCTTAACGTTGTATGCTGTTTTTGGTTTATAGGAATTAATTCTGAGCCACCAAACGCATAAGCGGAATATGAATATACGATATAGCACTTAGAGCGTTATAACCGAATCGCTAATCCGTGTATCCAAGTATTGCACCGATGGGGGTCACTGAAGATTGGAGAAAACCACCATATAATTTTTAACACTGGTAACACATAAAATACCAAAACAGAATACTATTTCACGGAATATGGACGATTTCAGCAAGCTGCATCCGATATTTTCTTTAAACGATGCATCCAAAAATTTGATGTGGTCTTGTAGAGCAGATATTCACAAACAAAATAAGCAGAAATTCGGCATTACCACGAAGATTACTCCTCAATTCCAAATAAACTGCCATCACTATATTCTTGTGCGTTGTTCTCTTTCTGTGTTGAAGCTCCCCAGTATTTAATTCCGACAATGAATTGCAAAACCGTGAAGAAAACATTCCTGAACATAAGATGGAGTCTGAAATTTATTGCGTAGTTAACTAACGTGTTCGAATTTTTAACCATTCAATAGCCAAAACTGAATTCTTCGATATATTCATAATTAAATTATTATACAAATTCAGTTCTGACTTCAGTTAATTTGTATTCAAAATTCAATAATAAAATTAAGCATTTAATAACCTTTAAGTAGTGGACCAGATGTGTGTAAATTTTTAAGTTCTGAACTTAAGTCGATTACGTTGATTGAATCATTATTGATGGCTACAATATGATTAAACAGTTCATGAGTTCGTCTTGCTATTTGCTGTAATGGAGCGGAAGATTTTCTAATCAATTTTTTTTTTTTTTTTTATAGAAGATATATAGCTTTCAAATTTAAATGCACTGTAATTATCTAACGGCCCAAACATTTTTACATCTTCGCAAATATGCAGTAGGCCGTGAACATTATGAGCAAATATACTGTTTTTCCATAATAAAGCCCAAAATTTACTGCGAAGAGATTTTAATAGAGACTGTGCGTATTCATCAATTGCGTCTTCTGTATTCTGATATTTGTATTTTGCATAAGAGTCTAATCGAAATATGAAGTAGTA